TGTCAATACATTACATAATGGGCATTGTATTTAACAGCAGATATTAGCACAGGCACGTGTACACAAGTTTAGAGCTGGGATGAAAGATCTCAAAAATCCTCAATTTTGGGCTCTCCTGGATCCCCAAATCAAGCTCATTATATCATGGCATCTCAGGGCTGAGAAGAAATGAGATGTCATGGATTATCATGATGCCTTTAACATGTATAACATACAGTGTATGCAATATTTTTCACATCTCCCTATACTACTATATTTTACAAAAAGCTCAGATAAATGGAATGTACTAAAAACCCTTCGACCTACGACCTTTCGACCCTACGACTTACTGGGTGTCAAGAATTTTTGGAATATATTTTATTGAAAAACCCTTCGACCTCTGATTTCCCAGTCCAGTTTACTAAATGATTACGTATTATAGTTCCAACTTGAGCTCCCTGTGCACGCAAATACGCATTTTACCTGGTAATTGTCAAGCAAAAATGTTTCAGTAGAAAAATTTCTTAAAAAGTTCGTCTACACAGCAAAAATACGAACGCCGAAAAAAACGTACGCATTTCGTTCGGACTTTTCACGCGTCGAAATTTTTCGTCTTATTTTACTTTTTTACTAAAACTTGAAAAGTAGTTGAACGATTTTGAGATCAAAAGTTCAATGGGATTTGCTCCACCTCGCGTTGCTGTTTTCTAGTTCTGAAATGTTTCATATCTATGTCTAATAAATATAGTTGTATAGATGTGTTTGTAATAACCTTTATGCCCTTAAAATGTATATATTCAGGGGGGGGGGACATTCGTGGGTTCAAATGGACCACTCCATTGGCCAAATATTATCTCAAAATCAGTACAATTTTTCACCATTCTGAGCATTTTCAAGATTTCTGGGCCACTTGAAAATTGTCAAATGTTCACCCCTTGATCCTTTTGAAAAACTTAAATTGGCAAAAGCTGGTTATACGAACCTGATATGACCTAGCTTGCAAGCTTTTTCTTGACGGTTTGTCTTTATTTTCCTTGCAAAACAAAGAATCTACTTATTTAGTTGGCATTAGATTCTTAACTATACAAATCCAAATTGAATCAAAGTTGATAAAATCAAAAGACGGTTGTCTTTAAACTATATAAAAAATTTGACCTCCTGAAAATATGCACGATGCGCCACTGTTACAATGTGATGGGAAAAGCACAAATATTTTTACTGAGGAGGTAAGAAACGTTCACATTCGAATGTGCTTGAATACATTAAACCTGCACATCGCTCCAAAACGCAATATGTTGACATGTATTGTTTTTACATTTTCAAGCTCTAATATAAAGTTTATGTAAAAAAAAAAAATTATCTGCGTAATGTCAAAGAACAATCATTTAGTTAAAAAAATAAAAAGGCGAATGCGGGATTCGAACCCGGGCCTCCCGCGTGCGAGCATTCTTCCGCTAGACCACCGTGATTTTATGAATGGTGGAAGTAATTAAACGCTACTTATTTTGAATGCTATGATTCGGAAGTGACGTCACGTTCTTCTTTCCAGCTTTAAATATCTTTAACTCTCTTGGGACAGATTCTTAAGTTCTATACACAAAGTAATATTTCCAGCAACTTCATATTGACTGAGAAATAGCCTATCTAGAAGGTCGAAGGGTTTTTATAAAAATATATTTCAAAAATTCTTGACACGCTGTAAGTCGTAGGTCGCAGGGTCGAAGGGTCGAAGGGTTTTTAGAACATTCCCAGATAAATACTATATATATCTTTACGATAATTGTGAAACTACCGTTGGGAAAAGTTGCGATAATATTCAGAAGGAAATAATATAATGCAAGAATCCACGTAGTACCAAATGTATAATCATACGGCAAATAGGCAGTACACAGGCCCGAAGCCAGGGGGGGGGGTTCGGAGGGTGACTTTGGAATTTTTGAAAAAGTGCCCCCCCCCCCTGGGAAATCCTGGTTACGGGCCTGGCATATGGCATATAGAGACTACTCTATAGAGATCTGGATTACCCCCCAAAAATGTGGGACTGATTTTTCAAATCACCGCCACAACCAGGCCCATAGCCAGGGAGCTGGCCAGAAATTCTTCCAAAATCATGCAGTTTTTCACCATTCTGAGAATTTTTTGCATGATTATTAGCCAAAATTGTGAAAAAGCTCCCCCTGGAAAAAGGCTCCCCTTCCTGGTAAAAGCTGGCTCCGGGCAAGCCCCCACAACTACTTGTGTATTGAAGTTAAAAAAACGTTGTTAGTAGTTGACACAGAGCTGAATTTTATCTAAGTAACCACTTACCCAGCTTATGTCCAACCCAAGTAATTGTGGAGGCGATTCAGAGAAAAATCAACCCCAAATTTACGGGAATAAGCTGGATCTGCTGTATTCGTTCAAACTGTACTTTAAATTTCATAATAGGCTTCTTTAATTCTTTTAAAACATATGTTTATTTAACTTGTACGATGCCATATACGATAAATGTTGCCCCCTCTTATGCAATCATACACAACAGATTTTCACCCTCCTCTTATACGATAACCCTATACACCCCCCCCCCCCCATGAAAGCGAAAGAGTGTAACCGGGCACGAAACGAAAAATGGAAAAAAATGCGACGCCTGAAAATAATAAAGTATATGTTAGTCTTGAAGAAATAGCCAAACTTAAATATATTTTGACACTGTTCCATTCTGAACAATACTTTGCACTTATGGCGTTCGTGAGGGGGGGGGGGGGGTAGGTACGAAAATTTCCAATAAACATGCGTGACATATACGGGATTCGCGTGACAAATCCGAACAAATTGCGTTCGGTTTTTTCCGACGTTCGTATTTTTACCGTATCGTAACCATATTTCGAAAATATTTCTACAGAAATATTTTTGCGTGACAATTACCAGGTAAAATGCGTATTTGCGTGACATTTTCTGTCACGCAAAAAAAACTGGCGTGACTTCAAATTCTTCAGCAAATGCGTGACAAATACGCAAATTGCGGGACAGTTGACAGGCCTGGAAATGTGATGAATAGACTTTTTAAGAAACCTAAGAAAAAGAGGGATGTTATGGTGTATTCTGGCCCACCTGGAAAACGTCAACGCAGACAGTGATCATCAACAATGGACTATGAAATAATTTGTATAAATGACAATATGTATATTAAATAAACAACTAAAGCACTAAAATGCATTTTACTGTTATTGTTGGGTTGTTGTTGATAGTGGCGGCTGTGGCGGCGGCGGCGGTGGCGGCGGCGGCGGCGGTGGCGGCGGCGGCGGCGGCGGCGGTGGGGTCAAAGAGTGCAATAATCTGATATGATTGATTGAAATGGTTCAGCAGCTCATTTGCATATACACTTTGATTGGTCGAAAATGTTCTGCTGTAAAACTGTTAATGTTAGCATTTTTTATCTTGTGGCGGTTTATATATTTTTTTAGTGGCCTGTTAAATTAACAGATGCCTATTAAAGCGTGTTATTTTGTATAGTGGGTGGGTGTCTATTTTGTGAAAATGCCCTAAACTCCAAAAATTAGCAGAAATTGATCAAGCGTAACTGAAATCACTCAACCATGACAACTGAAAAAATACTCTTAAATGACTTAGGAGTAAGAATCAAGTGATCGTTTGGTGAAAGAATGCCTCAAACTCCAGAAATCACTGTAGCGTGAAGATTGTAAAAATGCTCTTAAATGTATAGGGAGTAAGAATACAGTGTCCATTTGGTGATTAAATACCTCAAACTCAAGAAATAAGCGAAAGTCACTCAAGCGTGAAGATTGGAAAAATATTCTAAAATGACTCAGGAGTAAGAATCGTTTGGAGAAAAAATTAGCACAAATTGATCAACTTGACAATTTAAAAATATTCTAAAATAACTCATGAGACTTTTTGGTTATAAATATTCAATACCTGTCTAAATTGTGCAGAAATTCTCCTCTATTGAGTGATTTTCTTTTATCTGATTGGATGAGAATATACCGCAACCCGATTGGTTAAAATTATTCTGAAACTCTAAACATAATTGGTTAAAATAATCCAAACATACTGTGCCCTGATTGGTTAAAATGATTCTGCAAGTCAAAACCTGATTGGTTAAATATACTATACTCTGACTGGTTAACATAATTCTGCAAGTTAAAACCTGTTTGGTTGAAATGGTTCTGCAGTTATCTTTTTACTGTTTTATCAGTTTGTTATTCACCTTTGACCTATAACAATGACACATCCATGAAGTAGACAAGATAGCTTATCACATAGTCACCAGGTTACCTTAACAGTGTTTGTTTGAATATCTTATCAGTTATCAGAAACCTTTGATCTTGCACCAATTATCAGTAACCTTTGACCAGTGATATAAAGTGGCATGATGGTTCTACAGCTTATACAACCTATGAAGTATGTGTCAAATATAATTGGTTAAATTGATATATTGCAGCCATGTGATTGGTCGAAATTGTTCTGCAGTTATCTTTTTCACTGTTTTATCAGTTTGTTATCAACCTTTGACCTATAACAATGAAACATCCATGAAGTAGACAGATAGCTTATCATCACTTAACCACTCTCTTATCAATTATCAGTAACCTTTGAGCCAGTTATGTCACCAGGTGTAAGTGTAAGGAACACGTGACCTATGACGTCACTTCCGGTGGAAGTGGAAGTGGAATAGTGCAGGTGCAGGTAGGGGGTCGAAAGGCCCGCCATATACTACTCTTGTGTACTAGTTTGCCCATTACTAGTATGTTATCTTGTCTAGTGTAGTACATGTGGTGTAGTACATGTACATGTGGTGTAGTAGTTGTCTTTCATACTGCAGTTGAGAGAATTATATGCTTGGTTACTTCATATACTTAGTGTTGTATTTTGTCTACTAGTTTTTCATTTCTCATTTTTATTGTATTTATTGTTTTTATGCATGTGAAAAATATCTGAATTGTTCTAATTATTGTACTTGTAATGTTTGAATAGAGAAATAAAAAAATAAAAAATAAAATAATTTTTTTATTGTATTTGCAGTTATCCTTGAAGAAGGCACACATAAAGAAGCACATTGAGAAGAAACCTGTTCTGGGAAATGAACCCTGACTAAAACTTCCAGTTATGGAAAATGGAAAATGTGAAAAATTTTGACGATGAAAGATTTGAGACAGAACATCAAAGTTTAATGAATTTTGAAGATAAAAGTACTGTAAAATGGGAAAATGTGAATGATTCTGATGGTGAAAGAATTGACACAAAACATGAAAATAAAAATGAAATCAGGCACATTATGAATGAACATGATACAGTTTCTAATCATGCTAATATTGACATAAAACTTGAAGATATAGATTTTGATGGTGAAGATGTTGAAGAAAGTAATGATGTAAAACAGGAAAACAGTGAAAGTATGAACATTAAACATGAAAATGAAATGGTAGGCCTAATACATGTACTGGCATGAAACTTGAAAATCTTGCAGGTTTTGAAGGTGAAAGACTTGATATCAAACCAGAACATATGAAAAATGTGGATAATGAAAGTGTTGATATCAAACCTGAAAATGTGAAAAGTTTTTATGAAGAAAGTTCTGATGTAAAACAGGAAATTATCAGTGAAAGTATGAACATAAAACATGAAAATAAGATGGATTCTAATGATGATATTGGCATAAATCTTGCAGGTTTTGATGGTGAAAGTGTTGATGTCAAATCTGAAAATGTGAAAAGTTTTGATGGTGAAAGTATGAACATAAAACATGAAAATGAAATGGATTCTAGTGATGATGATATTGGCATAAAATTTGAAAATCTTGCAGGTTTTGAAGGTGAAAGACTAGATGTTCAACAAGAACATATGAAAAATGTGGATAATAAAGGTGTTGATATCAAACCTGAAAATGAAAATAAATTTGATGGCAAAAGTATTGATGTTGAACCAGAAAATGTGAAATATGTGAATGGGGAAAGTGTTGATGTCAAACGAGAAATTGTAAAGAATTTTGAAAGCCAAAGTGTCTGTATCAAACGAGAAGAAAAGAATCCCAGACTTGACAAAAAAGTAGTCCAGTTTAAGGATAGAAAGAATAAAAACAAGACAAAGGTTAATTGTAAAAATAAAATAATAATCCACTGTTACAAATATTTCAAGTGCAGATATTGTGGTAAACCCTTCAAAAATCAAGCCAAGCTATATCCACATGAAATGAAACATAGACCAGTAGTTGCAGTTAGCAGAAAAAAAAGAGAAAAAAAATTATTATGTGAATACTGTAGCAAAACATTTTTGTGTTTGCAACAGTTGAAAAATCATATAAATTTCCATACTGGTGAAAAACCTTTTAAATGTAAATATTGTGGAAAATGTTTTGCTCAGCAAGGAAGTTTGAGGTTACATGAAAATATACACACACGTGAAAAAACTTATAGATGTCTATTATGTAATAAAATACTTTCAACTTCCTCTTCACTTAGATCACATCATAAGTTCATTCATTCTCCAGAAAGTAAGAAACTGTTCAAGTGTGAACATTGCAGTAGAGCCTTTTATTGTAAATATAAATTGAGAAATCATATTAGGACCCATACTGGAGAGAAACCATATAAATGCAACTATTGTGATAAATTCTTCTCATGGAAAAGGGGGCAAAAACAGCACGAACTAGGTCATGAGAAACCATTCATATGTGAATTTTGTTCTCATGGCTTCTCCAAACCAGCATATTTGTTAAAACATCAAGAAACTGTTTGTAACAAACCGATTTCTGGAGGTAGTAAAATAACAGATCAAAAAGGAAAGAATACAGATAGTAAGAAACATAAGAAATGTGAACATTGTAAAATGTCATTTTCATTATTGTCGAGATTAAGAGAGCATATGAGGGTTCACACTGGTGAGAAGCCCTACCAATGCAAACATTGTGAAAAATGTTTTTCATCCCTAACTGGTAGGAGACAACATGAGTTTTCACATGAAAAACCTTTCGAATGCAAAGAATGTCACAAGAAGTTTTCTAAACCTGCCTATCTTGTGAAACATCAATCGACACATACTAGCAAAAAATGATGAGTAGGGCTAAAGGGAGCCATATGATTAGATTCAGTATTTTTCATCCTGGAATATGTCTGAGTGAATATATCGTAGCTAGGGTATATTGTTCATGTATATACAATGTTGGAATTTAGAATACTGCGTCAACTACTTTGATCTGATATGTTTTGTCTGTATTATGATTTAAAATTATTGCCATATACTTGTATAATTCAAAGAAAAACTTAATGTATATCAACATGGAATGAAATACAAATTATTACGTTTTGATAGGCACATAGGTTAGTTTTTTCAATGTTACATTTTCAACCTTCAGTTCCAATACATGTAAGACTAGAGATGTCAATTTAACAACGCTGTGTTGTAACCACTTTGGTAACATAGCATCCATTTTATTGAGTGCTCTTAGAGAAATGGACAATTTGCCATTGCTTCCATGCAGCAATTAAATTTGTATTGACCTGATAAAATTGATTCATTTTAACTAAAACGTGATCAAGATTGACGAACCACAAAGTAATGGTACTGATATTGACTTAGAATTTGCCAAATTGAAAAGTGGCAAAATAGCGTCCGTGTACACTTAATCTGAAAACATGGTTGCCACAATTTGCCAGATTGGCAGTCAGTCCATTGCTTGACTGGCAACCGGGTTTTCTGATCCATAATCATTGAGAATAAAACGTGTTTTTTTAGTTATTGGCAATGAAACAACATTGACCTTCAAATGCCAAGTAGCACATGTTATCATATTTTCTTAAGGTAGATGGAGTGGACCAATTTTGGAACGTCGATATTCAAACCAACATACGTGTATGTACCTGGTACATCCTGCAAATCAGGCAAATTACTCTCTACTATGACAACCTTAGCGTACATGTATGTTCAAAATCGTAAAATTACATTTGGCGAAAGAAAGAGATTTTAAGTTCGTTTAGTTTTTTTAAAACTGTATAAGATTTATAAAATATATAACAAATATAATTTAACATTCAGAAATGAGGTGGAAACGACAGAAAACAGCGAGGAATAGAGAAACTAGAACATTATCAAATAGCAATTTTATTAAAAAAATACAGTGAAATAATTAAAATGAAACGCCTCTAGGAGTAAAATACTTTTCAGACGTTCCAAGACTAACTGACTTAATATTAAAGGGATGTTTCTTGCCAGATCATTTGCCAGTACCTATAATAATACATGTATATATACTTTCCGGATTTTCAAAAGAATTAAATCATAGACAAAATTGAATAAGAATATTCAACTGGTTTTGTAATTCTTAATAGCTTGTTATCTAATGCTATTTTGCAAAGTTGGGGTCGATGACATCACTCCTGACGTGAAATGTCATAAGATGGGAGCACTTCATTTTTCAAAATTGTGTCATGATTTAATGGTTATAGTTTAAGGAGAGACAGCCTGGCAAGGAATATCACTTAAATGAACCTCGATAAGCGGAACACCTCTCAAGTGGAACACATTTTAGAGTTACCAAAGATGTTCCACCAAGACAGGTTCTGTTGTACAATATTCAAAAGGAACAATATATACGACAATAAATGAGCTTATTCGTGCATCCAGTTATTGGTTTATTGTTCTTTGAGGATGCACGAATTTAACTTTATTTTCAATCACTGTATTTAATGGTCTTTCTCCAGTGCAAATTCTTTTATGAACGATACAAATATACTTCTGGCAAATAATTTTTACAATATGTACATCCAAACATTCACGAAATATTTTGTGCGTGTTTTTTTCGCCCTGTTATAATATGAAGACATGTTTCCATCAATGTTATTGCGCTGCTTAGATGCCGGATGCAAACAGAATCATTAAACTGTTAAATGATAAGCTTAAGCTACATATACTTCCACATACTATGTTGTGTTATTGGACCAGTTGTATGTATTACTGGATTTTGGATAAGCTCATGCTTATTGAGCGTTTAAATATGGCAAGTTTTGCAAATTAAAGAATCGCCTAATTAAATACTCGCCAAAATCCCCGGGAATATGACATCTCTTTCGTCCGGTGCACAAGAGACCAATGTGGTATTAATTCAAATGAAATTTTAACTACTCATAAAGCACATTTATTCATTATGATCAAATTTATTCGAAGTAATATACAAGGAGTAAGTTACTTTCAGTTTATGTTTATATGTTAAGAATAACAAGGCTTTTTTCTTGAGGAAATTATATCATACCAATATGGTTATTTCGGAGTCCAGTGAAAACAACATGGCAGCGAAAGTTTTATAATTTTCCACAAAATGTGATATTTTAGTGTTAAATGAAGCCAGTACTCTCAAAATGAAAACACTTATTCCAAGTGTAAGTGTAAAATGCTATGAAGAATTGTATAATACTGATTTGAATTACGACAAGAGGTTTCTTTTCCACCAATTTTTATAGGTAAATTTCTTTTTTTTATTTTGAATTTTTTGTTTTGTCTTTTGTTGACATTTTCATGTATTATTTCAATCCATATTAATTTTCTTGAATAGCAAAATGAACATCAATCATTCTACTCTATAATCCCTTTTTGCAGTGATGCTGATCACGAAAAATGGCGTCATCAACAATTGAAGCAAAATCACGAATCTCAGAGCTGAGCCTTGCCATCATAAATAGTATTGCAGTTGCTATTAGTGACAATGAGCCATTGGAAGATATTGAAACCATGTTCACTGATTCTCTTGCATTCCGTCAAGAATTGAGAAGCTGGGAGGATGAAGTGACTGATTTGAATATTCTTCAGCATGCAGTTATTCATAAACACGCTGAAGCTGTTAGATTTTTATGTGAATGGGATGAACAACTTAATCGAAGCGCACATACTGGAATCAATGAGCCTATACATCTTGCCTGTTACGTGGGTGCGTTAGCCATTGTGAAATATTTCATTGAAGAAAGGAATGTACACATAAATAGGGAGTCAATTATGAGATACTGTCGCGCTTATTGTCATATTGTGATACCCTCATTCAACAATAAATTGACTCCTCTAGATGTTGCCATATATGGAAAACAACTTGAGTGTGTTTTGTATCTATTGGAACCAACAACAATTCATGTACTGGAATCATCTAAATCATTTCCAACATTTTACATCAATCCGGAGTATGATTCGAACTTCAGTTCCATCCATAGGGCATGCTTTCTTGGAAATGCAGACTGCTTGAAGTTCTTGATTGAATGTAGACAAGCATGTTATGGAAAAGGCATGGATTTGAAAGACAGTCTATCAAACAGTCCCATCCATATAGCAGCTTGGGCAAACAGTGTTGAGTGTATCACTATGCTGTTGGATGCAGGTGCCAATGTTAATGCATTAGATGGGTACAAAAACAATGCGTTGCACACATTGATGCATTTCTATGCAAAACCATGTAAAGATTGGATCAAACTTGTATGGTTACTCGTAGAGAGTGGAATCAATGTGAGTGCACTAAACAGTATTGGCTTCTCACCTTTGGAACTTGCTGCCATGACTTGCGTCAATGAAAAAGGTTTAATTGAACTGTTGTCAATGGCACCAGACGTTAACATTCCTGAGTTAAGATCACAGATACTAGATAGTATTGAGTACCTTTTAGTCAATGGAGCAGAATTTGCGCTTGAAGATCAAGAAGGATCCGTTACTAAGTCACTCTTGCATGAATTAGTGTTTGAGTTTGAAACATCCAACAGCTCTGTATTGAAATCCGTCCATCAGTGTTTTGAAATATTGCTACATCATGGTGCCGATCCAAACGTGCGACTTTTTCAATACAGCTACATGGGAGCATTATCTCACCTCATTACTCGCCTCCCAGATGTTTACACTGAGGATCCTGTTGCTGCGATATCCCTATTAGAGCTATTTCTAATAAATGGGGCAGATCCTAACCTAGTCGGCTATGCTGAAGAGTATCCATTTGAACGAGCTTGGTCTCAGGGACTTCCAAAAGTCTTCCTTCAATCTATCCTTGATTTTATGTCTGAGGATCTGATATGTAAATTGGATATTGGTGGCTCTCATGTAACTTCACCAATCACTGTGTGTCTGTATGATACATATACATCAAATGAACAGGCCTTGGTGGAATATAGGGATGTCGTCGAAGAGTTGATGAGGCCCAAGGTTAGGTCTCTGAAGCATTTAGTTAAGTTCAGCATAAGGCAGCATCTTAAACAAAACTACAAGCTGATAGACCAGATACCACTACCAGGACAGTTAAAACAATATCTCCATAGTTGCTATTGTTGAATATACTTGTTTGTGTTTGTTTGAACAAGAGGTTAACATATAATGTGAGTCTACACTGTACTTATGTGCACGTGGGGGAATCGTAGACTTGAAGTCAGTGGGTCAACTTTATTGTCCTCCCTCATACTTCCTTTTAATACGAGTTCAATAGCCTAAATATTTATCTATAATTTATTTATTGCTGTACATTTTTCTTTGCACTGAGTGTGTGAAATTTAAATATATACATGCACATGATAATTTTCTGTGTTTTTATAGCACCCTATGAATGCTGTTTTGTGATGGATTTCAGATTTTCAGGGATGGTACCGGGTTGCTATTTACATGAAACTGCCAACTCTATAATACAAAAAAAATTATTTAAGCTTGCATATAAAATCAAAATCGAAACGGTAAGCTATGTGTATAAATCGCCCATATACAAATGTTACTCGAGTCTCAAGCCAATACTTGGCCACGATACAATGGCCTTAGAAGAAGGTAATACAAATGCATGTCGTTTTCTCACTAACCCGCCCCTTATCACACCAAACTACTTCTCAACCGTTCTTTCCAGTCCTACAAAAAGCCATTAAACGGGCTCAATCTGACTGTGGTCGGGAAATATGTCTAAATACAATCAGCTACTTCGTTCATAAACAGTCTTCAATACATGTACGTCCCAGTTCGTTCAGGTCGCACCATGTCGATGTGTAGACGTATTGCATGCAGTTAATGAAGAGTTTAGTAGAGCCACATATGTTTTATATGTCTCTGGTTTAAGCTTGCAATTTTTTTCACAACGCAACCTTCAGATACACGTTAAGCTTCTGAGTTTCGTGTTTAGAACGCGAAATTCTAAGTTTCACGTTGGTTTCAACGGAAATCATTATACTCGTGTCTATTGCCATACTAGACTAGTAATTTTGATTTCGATATATAGTAAAATTCTTTCTAAAGAAGATGATGTACATGTACTGTATTGTATGTCATGCATGTTTTAGCTCCGACTATCTTACCAAACGAGCTTGATTGAAATATGTATCAGAAAACCAACTATAGAACTACCAATGGCGTATTACATGTACATGCTACATACCGGGGCTGCATATCACATACTGCGGTGTAGTTTAAACAAACACTGAAGCCCGAACGGCTGTTAGTAGATATAAAATGTCAGGTATCAGGCCGGGGTGGGCGGGGGTGGGCAGATTTTCTGGATGTTTTAAGGTCACATGACCATGACATCATCCCTCAAGCCCCATCAAATTAATTTATCTCCTAATCCCCATCCAATTAATTTATCTCCTGCTCATTTGATGGGGCTTTCATCTTAAATGCGTAAAAATGTTAGATAAAATGCGCATGACATCATTGTTATCTTAAATGGGTGAGAAATGTATTTCTTGTCTTAAATGGGTGAGAAATGTATTTCTTGGACTGAATGTCTTTAGTAAAGTACAAAATAAATCCCTTTAATATTATTTTAAATTTGGTCATTAACAGTGTTTACAATTCTACTTTCAATATTAACCCAACATTGAAAAGAATCAATAATCCTATTGAGTTGGTCAAACAAATACTGTTCCCATAAAAGGAAAGAGAACTGGATTTTGAATTAAATATGTGTACAGATGAAAAGGTTTATTTATTTAAGTCCTATATTGAATTGACCATTTGATCTTACTACTCTACTTGATTTCAACAATAATGGTCTTTTAATGTAATAATTGAATGTTGACATTTAATTGTGTCATCACAATGTTAATCCTTCATATTCTAGAACATCTTTTGTTTACAGTGTTAATCGCCTTTTTCAAAAACAGATTATAGCGATGAGTCATTATTCTGGAAGGTTCCAGAAGTTTGACAGAAAAATCTATTGAATGTATGTTAAGAATATAAATAATCTTTCAACTTTCTAATCTGGAATGGTCAATAACAACAAGAACTACATTAATTCACGACATCAGTTTCTAAGAATATCACGACATCAGATGTTGATAAGAAGTTGATATTGATGCCACTTGACAATATATATTGAGTGAAATATTCAAATCTTTATCATTTCAATCCTTATACTTGATATATACACATCAACTAAAAACCATGAAACTAGTACCATATGTAGACAACCCAGAACACTGGTTGAAACTTATTAGAGCTGGTAGACAGAATAGATTGAAAGTATCTCAAACAGGAAGAGGGTGTATAGGCATAGATGACATTAAAGAAGATACTAAACCGGTATTAATCATATCACCCATGACTGCAGTTGTCGACAGAGCAAAGGCACAATTGAAACGTCAACATGAAGATATGAAACATGAAGAGTATAGACCATCTAAAGAGAAACAACAAAACTCTGTAAATATAAAGAAGAAACATCCATTTAAACAGAAAAAACAAAACACTTCGAATACAAGAAAGAAACGGACATTCTTATACAAACCACCTGGTATCCCAGCAAGGATGGACGATTAAAGTTATTTGTATATAATACTGAACGATATGAATAAAAATAAATAACTAAAGTTTCAAATGTTGTTGCTATTTACAGTCATTTACAAATGGTTTGAATATGTATGAGCATTAGTTAGCATTACCTCATTAGCATCTGTTAGCATTATCATTAGCATATGTTAGCATCTGTAAGCATTATCATGAGTATCTGTTAGCATTACCATTAGCATATGTTAGCATCTGTTAGCATTACCATTAGCATATGTTAGCATCTGTTAGCATTACATCATTAGCATATGTTAGCATTATTTAGCATTAGTTTTACAAATGTTCACTGATGTTCACAAATGTTCACTGATGTTCACAAATGTTCAAAAATGTTCACTAGTATTGTTCACAAATGTTCACTGATGTTCACAAATGTTCACTAGTATTGTTCACAAATATTCACTGATGTTCACAAATGTTCAAAAATGTTCACTAGTATTGTTCACAAATGTTCACAAATGTTCACTAGTATTGTTCACAAATGTTCACTGATGTTCACAAATGTTCACTAGTATTGTTCACAAATGTTCACTAGTATTGTTCACAAATGTTCACTGATGTTCACTAGTATTGTTCACTGATATTCACTGATGTTCACATATGTTCAAAAATGTTCACTAGTATTGTTCACAAATGTTCACTAGTATTGTTCACAAATGTTCACTGATGTTCACAAATGTTCACTAGTATTGTTCACAAATGTTCACTAGTATTGTTCACAAATGTTCACTGATGTTCACTAGTATTGTTCACTGATATTCACTGATGTTCACATATGTTCAAAAATGTTCACTAGTATTGTTCACAAATGTTCACTGATGTTCACAAATGTTCAAAAATGTTCACTAGTATTGTTCACAAATGTTCACTGATGTTCACAAATGTTCACTAGTATTGTTCACAAATGTTCACTGATGTTCACAAATGTTCACTAGTATTGTTCACAAATGTTCACTGATGTTCACTAGTATTGTTCACTGATGTTCACAAATGTTCACTGATGTTCACAAATGTTCACTAGTATTGTTCACAAATGTTCACTGATGTTCACAAATGTTCACAAATGTTCACTGATGTTCACAAATCCCTCTCCTCCTCCTCCTCATTCCCTCCTAATCCTCCTCCTCATTCCATCCTCCTCATTCCCTCCTCCTCATCCCCTCCTCCTCCTCCTCCTCATTCCCTGTGAACATTTGTGAACATCAGTGAACATTTGTGAACATTTGTGAACATCAGTGAACATTTGTGAACAATACTAGTGAACATTTGTGAACATCAGTGAACATCAGTGAACAATACTAGTGAACATTTGTGAACAATACTAGTGAACATTTGTGAACAATACTAGTGAACATCAGTGAACATTTGTTAACAATACTAGTGAACATTTGTGAACATCAGTGAACATTTGTGAACAATACTAGTGAACATTTTTGAACATTTGTGAACATCAGTGAACAATACTAGTGAACATTTTTGAACATATGTGAACATCAGTGAACAATACTAGTGAACATCAGTGAACATTTGTGAACAATACTAGTGAACATTTGTGAACAATACTAGTGAACATTTGTGAACATCAGTGAACATTTGTGAACAATACTAGTGAACATTTGTGAACAATACTAGTGAACATTTTTGAACATTTGTGAACATCAGTGAATATTTGTGAACAATACTAGTGAACATTTGTGAACATCAGTGAACATTTGTGAACAATACTAGTGAACATTTTTGAACATTTGTGAACATCAGTGAACATTTGTGAACATCAGTGAACATTTGTAAAACTAATGCTAAATAATGCTAACATATGCTAATGATGTAATGCTAACAGATGCTAACATATGCTAATGGTAATGCTAACAGATGCTAACATATGCTAATGGTAATGCTAACAGATACTCATGATAATGCTTACAGATGCTAACATATGCTAATGATAATGCTAACAGATGCTAATGAGGTAATGCTAACTAATGCTCATACATATTCAAACCATTTGTAAATGACTGTAAATAGCAACAACATTTGAAACTTTAGTTATTTATTTTTATTCATATCGTTCAGTATTATATACAAATAACTTTAATCGTCCATCCTTGCTGGGATACCAGGTGGTTTGTATAAGAATGTCCGTTTCTTTCTTGTATTCGAAGTGTTTTGTTTTTTCTGTTTAAATGGATGTTTCTTCTTTATATTTACAGAGTTTTGTTGTTTCTCTTTAGATGGTCTATACTCTTCATGTTTCATATCTTCATGTTGACGTTTCAATTGTGCCTTTGCTCTGTCGACAACTGCAGTCATGGGTGATATGATTAATACCGGTTTAGTATCTTCTTTAATGTCATCTATGCCTATACACCCTCTTCCTGTTTGAGATACTTTCAATCTATTCTGTCTACCAGCTCTAATAAGTTTCAACCAGTGTTCTGGGTTGTCTACATATGGTACTAGTTTCATGGTTTTTAGTTGATGTGTATATATCAAGTATAAGGATTGAAATGATAAAGATTTGAATATTTCACTCAATATATATTGTCAAGTGGCATCAATATCAACTTCTTATCAACATCTGATGTCGTGATATTCTTAGAAACTGATGTCGTGAATTAATGTAGTTCTTGTTGTTATTGACCATTCCAGATTAGAAAGTTGAAAGATTATTTATATTCTTAACATACATTCAATAGATTTTTCTGTCAAACTTCTGGAACCTTCCAGAATAATGACTCATCGCTATAATCTGTTTTTGAAAAAGGCGATTAACACTGTAAACAAAAGATGTTCTAGAATATGAAGGATTAACATTGTGATGACACAATTAAATGTCAACATTCAATTATTACATTAAAATACCATTATTGTTGAAATCAAGTAGAGTAGTAAGATCAAATGGTCAATTCAATATAGGACTTAAATAAATAAACCTTTTCATCTGTACACATATTTAATTCAAAATCCAGTTCTCTTTCCTTTTATGGGAACAGTATTTGTTTGACCAACTCAATAGGATTATTGATTCTTTTCAATGTTGGGTTAATATTGAAAGTAGAATTGTAAACACTGTTAATGACCAAATTTAAAATAATATTAAAGGGATTTATTTTGTACTTTACTAAAGACATTCAGTCCAAGAAATACATTTCTCACCCATTTAAGACAAGAAATACATTTCTCACCCATTTAAGATAACAATGATGTCATGCGCATTTTATCTAACATTTTTACACATTTAAGATGAAAGCCCCATCAAATGAGCAGGAGATAAATTAATTGGATGGGGATTAGGAGATAAATTAATTTGATGGGGCTTGAGGGATGATGTCATGGTCATGTGACCTTAAAACATCCAGAAAATCTGCCCACCCCCGCCCACCCCGGCCTGATACCTGACATTTTATATCTACTGCTGTTTAACTGAGGAAGCTACATGTATTTGTATATGGGCAATTTATGCGTGTACGTTGACGTTTTGATTGTATATACTAGGTTAAACTCTCCGATATACGATTGAAAAACGTCGTTAACGCGTCCCTAGTACTGTAGGTAGCTCATCTCGTTTGAAGTACGTTGACACACGATCTACAAGTCATTGCAGAAAGGCATGGTCCCCATCGAATTTTGAAATGATTCAAAATTCTAAATCACCTTCCTGTCCGAGCACATCCATGAAAATCGTAAATAGACCAAGTAAGTTGCAGTACATTCATTACGTCCCTACTAGGATTGAAGTACGACAGTTCCGTTCGTAGTACGCCCAGCTCGTCTTAAGCACGTTGTCACTCGTTTGGTGTGATGATAGTAGGGTAAAAGAATTGTTCGGTTACTGTGATTATTTGACTACACTTCATCGTGTTCTATGCCATCGATAGTTAAATAGCTAGTTTTCTATGATTCATATATGAACAAGCTCCTTTCGCAAGATATTTGGAGCTAATACAGGTATGATATGCACCATTTTCTTCAGAAAGAATTATACTGAGTGTGGATCGAAATCAAAATTGCAAGCATAGTATTCAATAGACATGATTACCGTTGACACCACTATGACATAACAAAGTTCCCGTTCTAAACACGAAATTCTGATTCATGTACACGGTTACCTTGTAAAAATTGCAAGCTTAAACTCTCTATTGATGATTAAGGATGTGAAACGTGAAAGTAATTCTGATCAGTAACATGCAACGTGAAAACGTATTGCCATCTTACGTGATTAGGTGACAAATCCTCCTTCCTATATAGGCTCATATAATAGTGTATACTCAATCAGCAAATCAGGACCAGCAAAGAGAATACGGAGGGGACCGCTATCCCTGGGAAATCATAACTCCCTCAACAACGGTGTAAAAGAAAGTATGGTCACCCAGGGATTATGGTCCCCTTTCCTTACGGACCTTACAGGCCCTGACTGTGTATAAATAATAAGGACAATAATTGTGATTAGGTCACCATATAAATCAAGAGAGTAGGACCAACATTTGATAGGACCTCCTACCCTTTTACACCGGTGTGAAAGAAATGATGGTCCCCCAGGGATTATGGTCCCCTTTCTTAACGGCCCTTACTGACCCTGATTGTGTATGAATAAAAAGGAAAATAATTGTGATTAGGTCACCATATAAATCAATAGAGAGTAGGACCAACATTTGATAGGACCTCCTACCCTTTTACACCTGTTCTACTACAACATGAATCTATTTATCACGTTCGTTTGAACATCATCGTCGGTTCCCACGCTCAGTCACTACGTTGTGGCCCGAATCTTGACAAAGTGAGATGATTGACATCATGGGCTTTCAATTAGAGTTGAAAGCACATGTTAAGATAGATGAAATTTCCTTGGTCTTTCTAAACTATTTCCCTTTCTAAGCGTTCATGGGCAATGGTTAGTTATTATAAAGTGACTGAGCTACATCGCGATAGCCGCGCCCCCTTTGTCTTTCTCCTTCCAAAGTGAACCGCAAACTGCAGATAAGAGGGGCTCTGGCATACCAGAATGCGAATGACTGAGCTATGTTTCCAACCAACTATTAAGTTCATTTAGCAGTTAGCAGTAGATACTTGGTATAAAAACCATCACTTATATAGTATGTCACATGCATCGTAATAAGAGATCGTGATCTATTAGGTTCTTTCTAGTTGAAGGTAGAAAGAATATTAGTCCAACAACATTAGACCTAGCCTGGGCCTCGTTTCTTATCTGACATGTCTTATGGCCCCGGCTAGGTCTAACTTCCATGATGATTTTGCCCTTGATGCGATCATTTAATCGTTCAGCAGGTTTCGACATGCGGAACTAATTAAACTCCGAAAACATGGTAATATTACATAAAGAATGTGCTCAAGCATGCATACATACCTTATAAATACATACACACCATCCCGTACCCCCCTTAGACCATATTGATGCATAATTACGCAATTATTGGAGACAGGTTTGGAATTTTACGAAAATATCGGTCAGCTCCGGTAACATCGAAATTGCAAATCGTATCAGGAATTAACCGTCATTGCGACACTGCATCAACGAACAGTAGATTTGCAATTAATAACGATTTTGTGTGTATACAAGCGCTATATAAATCAATCAAAGATACCTGCTATCCTCAAAAATGGTTATTTTATCCCGAGTAATCGCGTGATAATTATCAATCTATTTGACAACAATTTCGTTTCAATAGTTTAAATTTTAACCCGGGACGAACAGACACAATGAGGGACATGCGGAAATGTCAATTTAGAGATTGGTAAGTTTAACCTCATTTTACTTGTATAAATGACCATTTAATACAATAATATTGTGTTGAATCGCTTGATGTTATGTGTTTTTATATTGTTGTCAAGTATCAGTTGCATGTTATCGCGGAAAAATGGTTTCGGTGGATCCAAAACTTGCATCAATGGAAAGAATAGTAAAGAGGTTAAACTCAATAATGGCCCCAAGAAAATTCTTAATAATAAATAACGCCGTTATTGAGTTTAACGACGTTGAACTAAAAGAATATGAGACTTGACTAATGGAGGAGGAGAAATATTCAAAATGCTATCCGGGGATAAAACAATTGGACATTGGTATATGAATCAATGGGCCCCTCACCATGTTAGTAACCAGTGGAATTTAAAAGGTTTATAAAAAAGTTCTGACATTTTCTTGACACAATAGGTAAAAGACATAACCCGTAATACACATGTCAGGTCCATAAACTTAAAGATACACATGCAGGTATCATAAACGTTAACTTAGACATGTAAAAAACCTGGCTCCCCATTACAGTGTCCATACCGCTATATTAAGGATGTTCAAAGACAATATATTGCCCTTTCAAGCAAACATATGATATCATTCGTATAGAAAATTCAGAATGCGGGATGCCACAAAGCTCACCCTGTAACAATTAATCTATTGATATTAAATAAAAAACAAAACAGCGATTTTTAACGCCCCCATATAAAGTTTAAACCACTTTAGCATTACTTCTAGGACAACCCTCGTACAAGTCTCGATTTGGAGAAAGAAGTTCATCAGTGTCACCGTGAGTGTCCTGCGCTAAAATTCTTTAATGAAAATATCATAGAAATACTTCATAGAAATATCACCCAAATTAAATTATGACTAGGCTATTCAAAAGAAGACATTCAAATCTATACAGTATTATGTAAAAAAAATCAAGTCCGATGCAGGGCTGGTAACGCTCAATTAGAGTGATGAACTTCGTTCTACAAAGAATAGTCATTTGGGCAAAAACCATCCTCTGAACACAGGCCTCCAGAACCCGTACCTCCTTCTTCCGAAAAGAAGAAGGAAGGAACTTAGTGGATGATGTCTGGAACCCTGCGTTCGGAGGATGGCAAGAACGCGTGACGTGATTGTTGTGAATTATCGCGTATCGTAGGACACATATATACTTTATAGAAGTAATGCACTATATGCTCCAACTTTGCTTAATATTCTTCAATATTTCTAAACGTTTTTGTATATTGCAATTGGATTGCAATATTGTTAAATGCTGAAGTAGTATTTTATTGAATCGGTCTTCTGCACGTTACCCCTGCTTCGGATAATTGTGATATTTTTACATCTTGTAGATTTAAACGTCCTCGTTTGAATATTTATAATTTAATTTGGTCGATATTTCTATATTTTTCATAAAAAATTATTAGCCCAGGAGACTGTTCTCCAAACCGACTGTTCTCCAAACTTTTTATTTAAAAAATGGCTCATAACATCCATGCTTGAAACATGTGAAAATGGTTCAGAGAAAAATGCATTTCAAAATGTTAGTTCTCATAGAAGCCAATGGTACAATAATATTTAGAACATAATATATTCAACCTAGTTAGACAATCAACATTGGTTTATTTTACAAGTTTAGCACATTAAGAAAATATAAACACTTCTTCAATTTGATATGCATTGAAGTGGCACATTAGACATGACATTTTATTATTGAAATAGTGTGTCCTTTGTTCAATCTTTATATGTATATGGTGATATTTGCACAAGAGAGTGACATATTGCCTCAAAACATCCTTGATATAGTGGTACTGAGCCAGCAATCTTTCCATGTCATCATTAGAATCCATGATAGCGTGGGCGTAGCGTCTGTTACAATCATATATTTTATTTTAAACATATATCTTGTACATACATATTTGCATTTCACTAATGCTGGTATTGTAATGAACTTGGAATGTGTCAGAGTAACCATTTGATTGTTTCTTCATATTAGATCGAAAGCTGGACGCGTTGAAAGCTGGACGCGTTGTGCAGACCTTTTTTCGTAATATAGACTTGAATTACGCACATAACAACGTAAATTACTAAAATTCGTGCCTAAAAAACGCCTGCATTCATAGGGTAAGTTTACCATCCAAAATTCACGGACTGGACTATGTACGTACTCTCGAAATCTGTTTTCAGACAACACGACAATTATGCTTTCATTCTAGTTGACCTTGTTATTAACATCTTTTAGATAAGTAAAATTGTTCAATATGATAAGACGATCTGCATTATAATGCTAAATGTGACTAAAACATGGTTCGAATAAAAAACAATGAAGTACATGTACATCTAGTATATAAATAGTGAGTGAAAAGTGGAAGTAAGTTTATATTTTCTACTATTACTACTTATCTAGGATCAAGGGTTCATTCGCATTCTCCAGGACTCATTGCTATTGTAGCAAGGAGTTCAAACAGCTTTCAATTGTGATATTCAAAACAAACAGATATTCAAACTAAAAATGGATGAAACGTTCATGCAAAATGTAGCTCAGAAATGTGATCATTTTGAAAATGATCCCGAGACTTTCAAATCATGGCTTAATAAGATTGAGAAATTTACATTAGATTTTACACAAAAATGCTCACTAATTGACACAAAAGCTAGAGATGTTGAACAAAAACACACCAATAAGGAACCTATGGGCGAGGAGGATGAACTCGATCATTCAAATATTGACGACAAGGCACATATAGAAGAATTAGGAAAAGCAAAAGAAGTTAGTCGTTTAAAAGGTAAAACGCTTAAGGAACATGACCATAGACAATGATGATTTGATAGTAAAGTCATAGTAAAGGTAGACATTGATTCACAAAGGGCATATTCTTGGTAGCATACTGTTCAATCTAGCCTTTTTATTCCAAAATAAAAGCACTTTTACATTTTAACACTGAAATCTCTCATGCTGATATTGTTCAACTGAAATTCCATTATTTTATGCAATTCCTGGTCATCTAGCTATCATACATAAGCTAATATTATAACAGAGGCGTAATGACCATTTTTCAAGTGTACGCCCGTCAAATTTCCAGGTAGATCCCCAAGTGATCAGATGGTTGGGGGATGATTGTGTTTGTATTTCACCTAGCTTACAAGGGTTGGATTTTATTTTTAACCCGATCTTTTATGAAATTGCGAGATATTTATTTTTCACCCCATATGCCAATCTGGGAAATGTTATTTTCTTTAAAAATTGAGAGTACGTTTGTGCGTACTTGGCGTAAATATAGCTACGCCAATATCACATATATATTTATCATAATCTTTTACACTGTATAAGATAAATTCTTTTTTATGTTTTACCTTTTAGGATGGGGCAAGATGGATTTTTCAGAGCAGTGGGATATGGACAAAGCTCTAGGAGTGATCCAAGAAAATATGGGTTACACTGGTTCGTGTCTGTTTTCCCAACATTATGGGAATAGTTGTTCCTTTTAAGAAAATAGTACCATATTGGGAAATTATTAGAATTTGTGCGTGACTTTCAATTTTAAATGTTGTCCTTTCGTGAAGGATTGTTAACTTTTTATCAATTATTTTAAAAATTGCCGGTGGTGATATATAATACGGGGAGGATTGAATCATGATGATTTTTGACAACTGTGAACATTGAACACCATGCCTATGTGTAAACTATCAGTGGCACGTTCATTTACAGGTGGGAAGGTTGGATGTCGCTTGGGTTTCATTCCAAGTAGTGGACTTGTGGTATCCTGTCTCGGAGAATTGCTGGCACGAATCATAAATCCACACACAGCATTATTTTATTCAAATCCAGGTATGTATAGGATATCCCATGTATTTGAGCGATATCATTTTTATCCACGATTTGATGTCAATAGCTGGAGACGAATGGGCTTACTCATTGGTAGCATACTGCAATGCATCCAAAATTCAACAATGGTAAAGGATCACTGGTTTATTAGCTTGAAGTTTTAAGCTCATATCTGCTTTTAAACTCACATATTTTCTCCTCTTGCAACAAATGATTGACCATTATTGAATGTATATGACCACTTATACCCGAAGGTGCAGTTCAGCTAGAAGAGGAGATGGTCAGATGGTTGGTAGAGTTTGTTGGTATGCCCACATCTAGCCAAGGGGCCCTAGTGTCTGGGGCTTCTATTGCTTCGATTATGGCAGTACGCACTGCAGTTCAGGCTAAACATATAAAGGCCAGGGACTATCACAGGTACGTACATGGGGGCACATGTATGGTGCTTTAATATGATCATAGCTTTGTGGATCTTTTCTAAAGAGGTAATAAAGAGCAAAGATGAGATGTGTGTAATCAGGATTCTGTGGCGGATACAGCAATTCACAATTTACTATTACTCAGCATACTCATCACCTTCTTGTACTTTGTTGCCACTTTAATTAGACAGGTGGTTTACATTACTCAACAAACGCATTGGCTTCTTGTACTTTGTTGCCACTTTAATTAGACAGGTGGTTTACATTACTCAACATACGCATTGGCTTCTTGTACATTTTTGCCACTTTAATTAGACAGGTGGTTTACATTACTCAACATACTCATCGCCTTCTTGTACTTTGTTGCCACTTTAATTAGACAGGTGGTTTACATTACTCAACATACTCATCACCTTTTTGTACTTTGTTGCCACTTTAATTAGACAGGTGGTTTACATTACTCAACATACTCATCACCTTCTTGTACTTTGTTGCCACTTTAATTAGACAGGTGGTTTACATTACTAAACATACTCATCACCTTTTTGTACTTTGTTGCCACTTTAATTAGACAGGTGGTTTACATTACTCAACATACTCATCACCTTTTTGTACTTTGTTGCCACTTTAATTAGACAGGTGGTTTACTATTACTCAGCATACTCATCACCTTCTTGTACTTTGTTGCCACTTTAATTAGACAGGTGGTTTACATTACTCAACATACTCATCACCTTCTTGTACTTTGTTGCCACTTTAATTAGACAGGTGGTTTACATTACTCAACATACTCATCGCTGTCTTGTACTTTGTTGCCACTTTAATTAGACAAGTGGTTTACATTACTCAACATACTCATCGCTGTCTTGTACTTTTACTCAACATACTCATCACCTTCTTGTACTTTGGTGCCACTTTAATTAGACAGGTGGTTTACATTACTCAGCATACTCATCACCTTCTTGTACTTTGTTGCCACTTTAATTAGACAGGTGGTTTACATAACTCAACATACCCATCGCTGCATCCTAAAGGCTCTAAAAATCTGCGGGATGGCAGAATGTGAGGTGAGAACTGTGAAGCATGACTATGGAACACGAATGGACCCTGAACATCTTGAAACCTCTCTCAAGGAAGACATGCAGGTAACTCTGGTTACTAGTATACATGTACAGTAAAACCTGTCTAATCCGAACGCCATTTGGACCGGCTTAAAACGTTCAAATTAGGAGGTGTTCACATTTCGAGGTTTTTGCATTCGCGAGGTTCCGGATTCTGACGAAATGTGAACACATTCTCAGTACATACTCTAGTTCATTTGACCACATACCGGTAGCTTTATGGCATTTCAAAAATTTGAAAATTCGATTCAAATGAATCTAGTCATGCTGGAAAACCCTATTATAATCAAGACCATTCAAGTTTTTTCCAAAGTTTTGATATCATAAAAATATTTGAGCAAATTTATATGAAACATGTGATATTTTATGAAAAGTGTTCAGATTAGACAGGTTAATTTTTCAAATAAGACTGTTCACTGTTCAAATTGAGAGGTGTTCACATTTCAAGTATTTTTTAACATGGGAGTAAATGGGAGGAAAAAATGGGACCGAAAAAAAGTGTTCTGATTGGGAGGTGTTCGGATTAGCCAGGTGTTCAGATATACAGGTTCTACTGTCCCATTTAAAGAGGCACTGTCTGTACTTAGTTACCACTCTGTTCTTAGTTACCACTTTAATTTGTTTAAGAGAAGACCGACAGTGCGCAATTGTCAACAGTTACCAGAGATAACACAGGGTTTATTCTATTAGGGGATGGGGTAGATAAAAAACTCCCCAAGTTTAAAACTTTGGTTTTCAAAAAAAAGTGACATTTCATGGACAGCAAATGAACATTTAACTTATAGCAACATTCGGACACCATCCCTTTTGAATGTTTCTCTTTCAGAATGGTCTTCATCCATTTATGATAATTGCTACTTTGGGTAATGTAGACATTGGTGCTATAGATCCATTAGATGCTATAGCAACTGTTGCTAAGCGACATGACACATGGTTCCACGTTGATGCAGCCTATGGAGGATTTTACATGTTTTCTAAAGAGGTTAGGCAGAAATCTAAAGGTAGTTAATGTACTCCTATTTGTTCTTAACATCCCAAAATCTTATTGCAAGAAAAACCCATTTTAACATTCATTTTTCCCATTTTGAAGAATTTGCACTATTTTGCTGTAACAGTTATACCACAAACTACTGCACTTTCCTCAACATCTGAGATTTTCTTCAAAATATTATCTGGCAGAGAATTGATTACTACAAAGAGATTTCCTATTATTTTGTATTTTAGTCCAACATGCTATTACAGTGAAACTTGTAGAGTGGAATACTTCTAAAGATAAAACCTCTGTTAGTTGAACACTTTTCAGAGTCCCAAGACCAAAATACATAATGTTAAATGAGCCTTATTATGGGACACCTCCCAACGGGAACACCTTTTAGAGGTACCAAAGGTGTTCCATTTAGACAGGTTTTACTGTATATTATTTTTTGTTTTTATGTCACCACTTTTGTCAATATAGTCTCCAACTTTTCATGATAGTGGTTGGTGTTGGTGTTTGGAGTTCGGCGTCTGTAACAACTGGAAGGTGGTAACACTTTGCATGTTAATGCCTTGTCATGTATTGAACTAATCAAATGCGTTTTCATATTCAGGTGTTGAGCTGGCTGATTCATTGATAATAAGTCCTCACAAGGGACTGAATCTTCCCTGGGGTTCCAGCGCATTATTGGTGAAACACGGGGCCTACCTACATGCTGCCATGACCCTAGACACTCAAGGGAACTACCTCGCAGACACTCAACATGATCATTATAGCCCAAGTGAATATTCCCTGGAGTTGAGCCGTCCATTCCGTGCTCTTCCACTATGGTTAACCCTGAGATTATTAGGGACTTCTCATTTTGAGGATTGCATTAGAGAAAAGATGGCGCTAACAATGTTCTGTTACGATGAATTGAAGAAGATTCCAGATATTAAAGTTGGACCTGTGCCAGAACTTTCAATAGTTGCATTTCAGTTGAAGTCTAAGGATAATAAAAAACTTGATGAACTACTGACAAAAATAAATCAAGATGGCCGACTATATTTGTCCTCTACCAAAATTGATGGGGAATTGTACATTAGGCTGAGTTTTAACTCAATGTCAACTCATACAACTCATGTTAAAAAGGCTTTGCAAATCATCAAAGAATTTCTGATGTTGATCCTAATATAAAACTTTTAATTAGAAGTACAAGGGGTGAAGTATGATTACAATATGCATTGGATCAATTACTCATTCATGAACACTCACTTAAAGAGCCAGTATAGTAGTTATGTAATTTAAAAGACATATTTAAAAATGTCTGAACGATGTCCAGTCAATAAAGTTACAGAGGAGAATATAAACAGGGTGTCTAGGAAATAAAGTTTTAAAGTAGAAATGTTAAGATGTAGAGGGTGTCCCGGATCAGGAAAGTTACAGAGGAAGAATGTTTATCAGTGAATCAGTGAATTTCTGCGGCGAGCGTAGGAAAACTACGGCCGTCTTGCGGTCTCCGTACGGCGTATCTAATTTTTTACAGGCCGCAGCAGGGTAGCCGTAGAAATTAAAACTCGGAGTTATAATATTTGTTCATTTCTGTGGTCGCCGTAGAACGGTCCCGCGTCGGGCTTACGTTAACCGGGCGGACCGGGCTTACGGAAACGGTTTTTCAGGTCAGGGTTGCTGTCATATCTTTGCTGTGAACACAATTGCAACGCAATAGGTATACTGTTTTAGGTAAGGTCATTGATATCACAGTAACGTATATTACAAAAGGTTATGTTACTATTGGTCAATAGGGAGTTTAAGATTAGCGTAAATAACCCATTTACCTATACCTATACGTAGTTTGTTATTACACTAAGCGGTATTTTACCTAAGATACAGGGTTTACGATACGTAATTACCTATAAATGGCCGAAGATAGGTAATTCGAAAACGTATGTTTTTATCCAACAAATTATGTCATTTCTAGATCAAATATCATCCATCAAACTTTAAAATACTAACAACAAACATTTCTCATTCGATCTGCATATAAATTAAGTGGTCGAACACATTCATTGATGCGATAAACTATGTCATGTGATGATGCATGAAATTGTTGAATTTTCACATTCTTCATCAGTTTTGCTTATTGTAAATGTATGAAATCAGCCATTTTCTCGTGGTTTTAATTGTTTAACTTTACTATTTGGTCACTCTCATTGCTGGATCATGCTAGAAATTTAACAGTTCGCCTTAAAGGGATCCAACACCTTACAAAACTTCTTAACGGAGAGGAATAAGGGAAAATGCTTGCCGGATTCTGAATCTGTGTATTTTTTAATGATTTTTCACCGTCTTAGAATTTCAATTTTTTTCCTTTGAAAAAATGAGATTTGCATTGTTTTCCAATTAGAAAAATGAGTAAACATGAATAGCTCGAAATCTAACGGTGAGATTTTGTTTTAAAAAATCATGGATATCAAGGCTGATTATAGCTATACAGTAAACATAAAAAAGCAATGCTTGGACTCTTCATATTCACACAAAAAATTAATTAGTAAATGAGGTTTCATACTTGTGAGAATAAGTTGTACGAGGTGCAATGCTCTACAAACACCAGACTACAGGGTGGATTAGGATCAATGACACACATAAATAGTTATCACTTTTGACTATATATACATATCTCATAGGAATGTATTTCCATCTGCTCAAGATATTATATTTTAGCTTCGAAAATCACAATCGTTGGATAATACATTTGTCTCAGAATAATAGGCCACCCTGTAGCAATGTAGCTTTCACTTGAAGTGTACCCTTGAGAATAATGAACTTACTTTCAAATTGGTCTTGCTTTTGTGGTGTATGTGGCTTTTTAGCAAATCTGCCACGCTCATTTCTTTCCAGAACCATCATCTTGTTCAAATGTATCACTATACGCGCATGTATAGACAGATCACATAGATATACATATAAATTATATATTGCACCTGTATTTACTTACATGGGAATATATTCCCTTTGGAAAAATGCAAATGCATGAACATATATATTTTCATCTTATATATGACTTCAAGCTAACATATTATTTCATATTTATATTTTCATAGTTAGTTTAACATGAATAATAGATCCATGTTTTTTTAAATTGATGGGTTTACTGTGAATTCAATAAATTACAATTTGCAAGGGGTAAGTATATTAGCTAGCTAGTTTTATGTTAGGCCAGGGTTATTAAATTTGTTGTTTCTCTTTCTTCTATTTTTCAAAATTGATACGGGAATGACGGTTTTTATATTACCCTTTTTTGTTTATCTAAAATGTTGATGAGGGACGGGATGATTTTTTTCTTTAAAATAACTGTAAAAACAAATAACTAATTTTGAAGGAAATAAACTGAGTTTATGTTGAATTTATATGTTGAATTTAGCCTACTTTACTGGTATATTTGATCATATATCAGTACCACGATATCGTCAATTATCCTGATCCATAAAAAGTTTAAAAAAAGTGTTTCGCACGCCATGGATGCGCGCGAGGTACAGTGTTTTTTTCTCAGAAATGGCAGAAAAAAGGTGTAGGGGGATTGGGCCACACGCGGGCAAGAATGAGAAACAACTAATTTAATTACCATAACCTTAGTTCATCCAGTAGTACATTTTTACTGCAAAGTAGTGTTTTTATATGCAGCTTAATAGCATAAAATATGTTGAATGAAGCATATGGTGTGGATTAGTCGTGTGACACACAAACTGACCAATACATGAGGGTATTAGCTACTTTTCACATAAACCAAAGGAGGACAGTGCTTTTATTTCAACTGGGAGCTTACCTCCACGCGACTGATCATGTGACCATGGTGGTGGTCCCCTTTAAGTCACTGCCCCATTATTGGGCCCACAAGCAACACCCTCTCCCAACTACAGTAGCTACACCACACTCTCTCTGAAGTATATAACAGTTCTTGGGGGTGACATATGTACTGGTATATGCCATATAAGCCATCGCATGGTTTTCATTCTTTAATTAAGATGTTAATTTTATCATAGATTGTAGCATACGGTTTCGTACCCTTATACGTTAATCTTAAACTCATTTTGCAATACGCATAACCTATACGTATCCGTAACAAATATACGGATAGGGATAGGAACACCTATATTTTTACGCTAATCTTAACCTCCCTAATGTTTCACCCAACACTTATTTGATTTTATATCCTAGCACAATAAATAACTTTATAAATTGTACTGGTGTAAATTAAATATAAAATTAATGTTTATCAACAGAAATCCAAAATTCGCCTTGCGGCTACAGTAGAAAATGTGACTGCAAAAGTATCCGACCGCAGAAATTCTACGGCGAGTGTAGAAATGTTACTGACCGCAGAAATGATAGACCGCACGGTCGCCGTAGAAAATGTGACTGGGGTGTTAATCGCACGTATAATGGAGAGTCAAATACAATTTAAAGACTTGCGTCTAATTATTTGCTTGAGTTTCAAGTACATCATATCGTTCTTTTCACAAACTCACTCCGCATAACTCCATCTTTTCAGGGTTTAGAAGATCCACACACTCCACCTATTTTAACACAATAGTTCGTACTACCACTAAGAAAGGATTACAACTGTTAGACTGTAACTCGACTAAACTTCACCAACGCACAGTGTCAAATATACCGCCGCACAGTTTTTCTGTGCGTTGACGTTTCCCGCCAATTTGGACCGCCATTTTTTCAAGGTGAGAAAAAATGTTGATTTTATCAATAATGACTCAGGCAAAACCAAAAGTTGTTGCATTCTTTCCATAGATTGCAAATATGCAGATCTACCTCAAATGATCTACATCAATTTCATTATTTTATTATACATCGGATCCAACAGCCCCCGTCATCTAGCTCTAGTTTTTGACAGAATTTCGCAAAATCCACTCTAGATATTTTTTGCAATGAAGATAATATATATGTACAAATTGCCATTGTTGACAAGACAACATTATCAGCAATATTGACACAGATATTGGCCAGATCGTTTTGTAGTAGGATCTCATAGGCTCAAAGAATAATACAATATTTATTGAGCTACTGATCCTACTACAAAAGAATCTGGCCGGGATCTATGAATATTGAAACAATGTTGATAAATAAAAAAAATTGATATTTAGAATTACAAAAAATGTTCAGAAAAGCTTTCTTCTTTTTTGTTGTTGTTTGGTTTACTTGTTCCCCAGTGCCAAGTGAAGGTATCAAAATCAAATGTTAAAAATTACCCTGTCCCAGACTTTGTATAGCTTGACGTGACTCTTCATTCCGAAGATATGATACCAAGAACAAAAGATGTGTCTGATGTGTTTTCTAAAACAATATAGGGAAAAGTATATATCTTCTCTTTCAAATTATATTATTACCATGCAAAGGACGACCATTAAATTGACGATGTGTAAAACTTTTAGAAATCTTTGATGACTGGTTTAAGAGAAACTCGTGTTCAAAAAGTTCACCATATCGATACCAACCCTTTGAAAAGAATACACTTATACTCTATCATTCCCAGTTCTCCAAAAGTTTTTTTTCTATCGGTAGTTTTCTGTCAACGAGGCAAAAATAGTCGGCTAGGCAAATAAGAGGCAAACGTATGTAGTAGTCTACAATCGGGTCTACAATACGGTAGAAGGGTACACTGCATAATCACGGGCTACTAGAGTTTCCACGTATATAGAGTATGACCGGTTCTTAGGCTACGAATATGACCTGTTTTGGAAAGTCATGAGAGGCACAGCTGCTTAAAATGGAAAATAAAGGTTAACTTCTATATTATCCTTTTTGAAATTGTGTTTGTTGAATATAGTTTATGCTGTATTTAATAGTAATGTAACAAAAAAATGTTAAACATGAGCTATTTTAGCAATGTAACTGTTCATAATGGAATATCAATCAGAAAGTACAGATTTCTCGCCTTAGAGCCAAATCATTAATATCACAGTAGAAAAAAACAAATCCTAAACCTTTTTATGGCTAACCTGAACAAGATCTCCAAATCTCAGTTTATATGATCCCCCGTAGAGTGAGCAAGAGAAGGATTTATCTTTTCCCAGAGGATACGCTTGTGAAATGTCATGGAAGACATTTCACAACCATATTCTCCAATAATGGGTCACCAGTGACATTCGTATTCTCAAAAATTCAAAGATGTATCATATTTG